TTATTTTTTCATTTTCCTCCTAGTTACTTGATCATCTCAATTCGATAGGTTGATGACGTAAACGTGATGTCAACCCCGGTTCTCCTTGTGTCGGCCTACAGGGCGTAACCCATGCATATGTCTGGGGTGGCCCCCGCCCCCCCCACCCCAAGAATTTTTTTGTATACGATTTTTTTTTTTTAATTTGTCATTTATGTATTACTTAATGCATTTTCGCCCCCAAAATTTTAATTTTGCACACTTTAGTGCATAAAAACAAAAAACAAAAAATAAAAAACAATTTTTTTTTTAAATTACCCGATATTTCAGCCTCCGAGAAAATCCCCCTAGATCTGCCCCTGTCGGCCGATTATTCCACTGGAATCTCGGACAGTCGGCCATCGGTCCTGCAACACCGAGAAAGTTTTCCTAGAAGTTTCGACATCCTTCTCGTTCTGCATTTGATGGGCTTTTAGGTTAAACAAATTTGCAACTCGCCTAAAACCCTAGCCGATGTCACACCATATCACCATTTCCATTGTGAAATAGAATAAAATATTCAAGTCGGCAACTCCTTCAAATATTAAAGTAAGAAATAAATATCTGTTACAAGAAATAAGTTGGTACAAGAAACAAATATCTGTTACAATAAAGTGTGAAAAGAGACAAATATCCATTAATACATGTGAGGCAAACTACCTAATTATTCATTAACTACTACATATATATAAACATTATAAATGTCAATTAATTAATCATATAAAACCACACCCAATAATTTTCTGAATCAATCATATCACACCAGCAACAATTAGGTTGTGTTTATTTTTGAGTAAATTACAAAAATATCCTTTATCCAATAATTCTTTCTTCACTCCCAATCCTTTTGAATAAGCTGTTCTTTAACTTGTTATGACCAAATAAAATAAAAATAGATTATGTTTCATTTTCATAAAACAAATATATATATATCATAGTCAACTAATGGAACTTAATTTAATAAATTAAATAGAATATATTCTTCTACTACTTTTCCAATGCTTCTATCCATTTTGTGATGTATATTGATTGGGAGGTGGAGGGGGGCTTGTATACGTGTTTCAACTACAAATTATTATTATTATTAATGTTTTTTTTATTATTATTATTTTCATTTAATACAAATAAAGTTCTTTGATTCCTTTCTTCAAAATGGCCACCGACCTCTGTACAAAGTACAAACAAACAAGGGGTTGTCTAGGGTCCGAGAGGTCTGTACTTCTCGGACCGTAATCTACCAATAGTATTATGCCACATAGGATAAGTACGAACCCCATAAAAAAAAGTACGATACCCATATTATAACTAAAATTACATAAAAACCCTTAAAATTAATATTTAATTAATAACTCATAATTTATAATTAATAACTCATAATTTATAATTAATAACTAAGATTTGATTATAGAGCAATAACAATTATTAGAATAAAATAATAACCTAATTGTCTATCAATTCTTTTTGCCGTAACATTTAAATAAATATCCTCAATTTTGTGTCCTGTTCTATCGTCTTCAGCAATTCATATAAACCCTAATCATCGATCTTTCTTCTTATAAAAAAAATAATCATGGATCTTTCTTCTTATACATCCTTCTTATTTATCATCGGTCGATTGTTGACTCCGATACACAACAACGATTGTATATAAATATTGTACAAAAAATATGGTTCTTCTATTGTTGATGGTTCAACAGGAGGTTGATTGTTGAAGCGGAAAAGACTTGGTAAGCGGTGAAAAGAATTTGCATCTACATCCTGGAGATGAGAAGTTAGGATTTGATTTTATTTTATTTTTTTGTAATTTTATCAGTTCTTGAACAAATTTTTGTAATAAGAAAAGTCATATTGGAAATCTGGTTCTTTTATTGTACATTCTCAATAATCATACGAAACATGTGAGCTATGGTCTTCTCCTGTTTTTTTATTGTGGATATTTAAAGTTTATTTATGAAGTTATTCTTTTGTGGGACTGATTTTACTTGTATCTGATTGTCAATAGATGCATTTGTATGTATATGAATGCCAATATAGTTTTTTAGTAGCAGTTTGAATATGTAATCTTGATACTGGGCATAATTTGAATTTTTTCTTGGAACAATAAGAATGTCTGTTTGATTGAGAGACATTAACCGTGCATGCAGCTATTTGCAATTTCAAATGTTATTTTGTGTAAAAGTCGGAGTCAAGTTCATTGTTTCCTAAGCAGGTAGTTGGCTTACAAAGTGAACAAATATCATGATTAAAAGACCGACAAAAATAGTCGTTGAGAACCCATATATTACGATGAAGTGCTCAAACATAATTCATGCTCAAAGTTAGGAAGGTGGTTACAAAAGTAGACTCTTCCTTTCAAGGTGCCTTTTGTTACTCAAATTGAGATATTAGTTTTTTCATTCTTTTTCTTCAACATTAACTTTTCCTTTTCTTATGAGAACGTCAATCATTAACTTCATTTCTATTGATTTACAGCTTTGCAGTCATTTTTTCGAGCCTTGTTCAGGTCTTTCCTCACTGTTTGTAAAATTATGGATTTCTTATGTTTTGTTTTGTTTGTTCAATGCCCTTTGACAAGTAATTGATGTCATGCCGGATGAGGTACCTAATGAAACGTCCACCTCCCCGCAAGCCCGTGCAGAAAAGCCTCTTTGGAAATGGCAAGAATTGCAAAGACTGCTTAACACCACCCTTCGTTTCCATATTTTTCTTTTATGTTTGGATTGGAGCAAATGGAGTATTTTCCCAGTGTAGTTCTAATATCTATGATGATGCAGGTTTATTTAGATTTTTGCTTAGTTTTCGGGAACTCCTAAGATGTAGTATTTTTAGCACTCTTTTTATTTATTTGTTCGCCACACCATCCGAACTACCAATTCTTCTATAACTCCACCTATAGAACAACATAATATACTGATGTTACTTATTATATGATAAAGAAACTGCAAGAATCATTAAAAAACAATAATCAATTGTACTAAGAAATTAAATTCATTTGTTGATTTTTCTATCATCTTAAGTTTATCTTTCCAAATGGGGCTTCCAAATTGTTTTCAAAGCATTTCAATTCTTACACTTCATAGCAAAAACACAAATACATATCAATTCTCTCTGACATTCTATCAAACATTCGGTACAACTTTGATCTTTATTTGTGTATTTTCGAAGAAGAAGAATAACAATAATTCAAACTTGATCACCATAAATTTTAAAGAATGAGATCTTTGACTTTTATGTTGGCGACATGCTTGATACATCATATATTAAATTTTCTTGTTAGCTAGTGATTACTCATATTCCTGTTTAGATAATCATCCAAAAACTCAGAGTACCTTCAACATGTTAAGCGTATCAAACCATCATACTTCATAAGATATCAAACCAAAGAAGCAAAATCCATTAACGTAAAGATCAAGTAGGAGTTGTGCATAGTCAAAGGTAACATATCCAATCAGGGCATCCGTACGAAGTTGGCCATTCCAAAAGATTGAAAGGGCTGGACGGATGATGAAGCAGCGCAAAGATGCTAGGGATTCCATATCATCATCGGGGGCGGGATTTTGAGCCTCACCACAACTTTGCAGTGGGCATCATCAACCATGTCCAAAGAGCACTCTCTTTATCCGGACGCACAAAATCCCTTGATTCCATAGTCTTCGATAACAATAAAACCCGCTCCACCGAACTAAGAGGTGACCTCTCTCTCATTATAAATGTTACTCTTTGGAATACACTAATGGCCCTCCGACGCTCTTTACGAGGGCGAGCTTGACCTACTTGATCATCGATTCTGCTTCATCATCAGTACACTATCAACCTCTTTCCATTTTCACCCGTATCGATTCTCGTTTTGCCTGCAACTCTCAATTTGGGGTAGTTTACACATAACTCATTGCGGCCATGTGAACTGTCATGTTACCCAAGATTCGAAACATTAAACATTTTGCGAGTTGCCTGCTCAAGGAATATGTATCTAACATCTAAAATCAAAATTCTCAATCTAGCAATAAAAAACAGAACGACAAATCAATTATACCTTCAAATTTCTCAACTATAGGGGCAAGCAAGAAACAACTACAGAGAGAAGGAAAAAACGAAATTACTAAAGCAATTATCCCAACACAAACAGAACGACAAATCAATTATACCTTCAAATTTCTCAACTATAGGGGCAAGCAAGAAACAACTACAGAGAGAAGGAAAAAACGAAATTACTAAAGCAATTATCCCAACACAAACTCCCCACGGTCGGTGCTCTCCCGCCGGCCAGACGACGAAGCAGTTTCAAGTGGAAAGCTCAGTAGAATATGCAAATGAGACTAGGGATTCTGCTTATGAGATAGCTTCTCACCCATCGTCGTCCACTGAAACCCTAGCCTGAACCCAGGGGCCAACGCATCAGAGCGGAATGGGGAGAGAAATCATCACAGAACTCAACCGTGACGAGAGCGGCGTCTCATCCGCTATGAAATTCCGGTGAGCGTAGAGGTGCGCAATCAACAAACGATCAATTGAACCAATATTGATTTTGGATGGTTTTGGGGAAGAACATTGGATTTTGATTTTATTAGACGTCTAATGTTGTTAATTAATTATGATTGTTAATAGTATTTTTAATAGATACTTTAATTTATTGATTTGAGTTTACAAGGTTAATTAAGTAAATTATGTATAGTACGATGTGTGTACGATGTGTTTTTACTGGGTTCGTACTTTAATTTTTAAATCACTAGTATCGTATTAGATCGTACTAGGTCGTACACGAAAATTAACGAATGAGATTAAACTTAAGCTATTTTGTACGGACAAGATTAAAAATCTTATGGTCCGAGAAGTACAAGCCTCTCGGACCCTAGACAACCCCAACAAACAATAAAGTAAACACAAGTCTGTTGGAGCAAACGTATTAAGTTCGAATCCCATTATTAACGATTACTAGGTCGAGTTTAGATTAAAATATGATTTAAGTCTCTCGTGTAATTTACAAATTATTATACGGAAACGTAATTTTATCCAAATCAACTATACGATTGGTTGCGGGTTTCCTTATTAAAAAAATTAAAGTAAACACAACACAACCCAATCTTTGCAACCCCCAACTAAAAATCCCACATAGGGAATATTTGTGTCTGCACGAGTTTTTTAATAACATCAAACTACACAAAATTAACATATATAATCATCGTTTTTAATGAATTTCTTGTCCACTAGCTTCTATTATTATCAAATAGACTATGATTACTACCTTCTATTATTACCAAATGCATCACGTTAGTTGTCCTAGCTCTATTCTTTACTGTCTGGGCTCCAACATATATACCTCACAATAATACATCCACAACTTCCTTTCCTCTTTCATCACCTACTAAAAAGGAATCAAACTCATCTGTTCACTCATAGTAAATGCTTTTTCTTGTTTCCATAGTTTCTTTCCCACTCCAAGATTAGATTTTTATTGTTGAAAAATCGTTTCTTGGATTTCCAAAGTGGTCTTTCTTAAAAATATATTGAGACCCTTTTCTTCATTTCCTCTGTTCTTACATAGTAAATTGTTTTTTTTTTATTGTTTCCTTAGTTTCTTTCCCACTCCAAGATTGGATTTTTATTGTTGAAAAATTGTTTCTTGAATTTCCAAAGTGGTGTTTCTTCACAAAATCTTGACACCCTTTTCTTCATTTCCTCTGTTCTTACATAGTAAATTGTTTTTTCTTGTTTCCTTAGTTTCTTTCCCACTCCAAGATTGGATTTTTATAGTTGAAAAATCGGTTCTTGGATTTCCAAAGTTGTTTTTCTTCAACACTGATCACTAATCTCGAGACCCTTTTTGATTCTCTCAAGTTTTTTAAGGTGCCCAGATAGTAATAGTACTCTACCGCCGACAATCTTGAATCCCTTCTACAAAACTCCTGAATTTTCAGAAATTTTGAGGTTGTCTGAATAATATAGTTTTTTAATGGGGTTTTGGGAGAAGGGAGCCACAGTTTTTGTACTGTTGTTGATGGTAAATAGTGTTCATAGTATTGGGGCAAATTGGGGAACACAGGCAACTCACCCTCTTGCCCCTTCAATTATTGTGAAGCTGCTTAAAGACAATGGGATTCAAAAAGTGAAGCTTTTTGATGCAGAAGCTAGGGTTCTTAATGCATTCAGTGGATCAGGTATTGAGGTTATGGTCGGAATCCCAAATGAAATGCTGTCCCTTCTTGCTAACAGTGTTTCTGCTGCTGAGAGATGGGTTGAGAGGAATGTTTCTGCACATGTCTCTGCTAATAGTGTTGATATCAGGTATTTTTTCTAGATTCTTTATTTATTTTTCTTGAGAACTGTGCTTTTTTTTTTTTTTTTTTTGTTATGTGTATTGATTCTTGTCTTGTTTTGTATTAGTGTTTGATTATTTTCTGTGATTTTTGTTTTTTGGGTCAAGAAATCCATGTTTTCAAGATTCAAGAGTCTAAGAACAGGTGTTTCTTGATTTGTTTTGATAGTTTAAATAATAACTTTGATAAGTTTGAGATTTCATCTTGATTGACTTTGGCTATTAAATGAGGGAAGTAGTTTGGTGGAACTGAAATATCTTGTAAGAAATAATGTTTGCATTTCGATTAAAGAATTGTAGAATGAATGTATCGAAACGAGCTCAAAGGATTTGTTATTCACACCTATGTTAACTTCGAAACTATTTCGATCCATCTATGGGGACTTTGGTTGGAAACATTTCGAAATTTCCATCCCAAGATTGTTGTATAAATGATGGCTTTTTTCGTTTCTTTTTGTGTTTAGGTATGTTGCGGTGGGAAACGAACCGTTTCTATCATCATACAACGGAACCTTCCTCGCCACCACTTACCCAGCTCTACAAAACATCCAAGCCGCCCTAATAAAAGCCGGCCTCGGAAACAAAGTCAAAGTCACGGTCCCACTCAACGCCGACGTCTACCAAAGCTCTACCGCGCAGCCCTCCACGGGCGATTTCCACGCCGACATCCACAGCCTCATGCTCGAAATCGTCAACTTCTTGAGCCTAAACGGAGCCCCGTTTACCGTCAACATCTACCCGTTCATAAGCCTCTACAACGACCCAAATTTTCCAATCGACTACGCCTTCTTCGACGGGTACCCCTCCCCCATAGAAGACAACGGTAAAATCTACACAAACGTGTTCGATGCCAATTACGACACCCTCGTGTGGGCCCTACAAAAAAACGGCTTTTCCAACTTAACAATCATTGTTGGAGAAATAGGGTGGCCCACAGATGGGGACCGAAATGCAAATGCGGCGTCCGCTCAACGGTTCAATCAAGGGTTCATTTCCCGTTTGAATCAAGGCACTCCGATGAGACCGGGCCCCGTCGACGCCTACCTGTTCAGCCTCGTTGACGAGGATGCGAAAAGCATTCAGCCTGGCAACTTCGAGCGGCACTGGGGGATCTTTAATTACGACGGTACCCCAAAGTACAACCTCAGCCTCGGCGGCAACTCCCGCGGGCTTGTTCCGGCGACCAACGTGCGCTACCTGCCGAGGCGGTGGTGCGTGATGTCGCCGACGGCAAGCCTGGAGGACCCGCAGGTGGGGCTGAGCGTAAGCTACGCATGCGCACGTGCGGACTGCACGAAGTTAGGGTTTGGAACTTCTTGCTCGAATCTTGATGCGAGGGGGAATATTTCGTACGCCTTCAACAGTTACTACCAGATAAATAATCAGCTCGAGACTGCATGTAGGTTCCCGAATTTGTCGGTGGTTACGACTAGTGATCCTTCGGTTGGGACTTGTAAGTTCGGGCTGATGATCGAGACTCCGGGGAGTGTGCGGGGAAATGGCGGCGGCGTGGTCTCGGGGAAGCCAGTTGGGCTAGTGGTTCAAATGATTGTATTCTTGTTCACCCTTCTTTTGTAATTTCATTGCAATATATATACATATAGATATATATGTATACAAGGCATAGACTTGTGATACAGTTGCAATTCATTCTTTTTGCCATATGTATGTATATCAGTATGTGTGTCTCTATTGACTATTGAGTGTTTTATTTTTGCAATGGGTTGGAATATATAAGGCTTTTTGTATATTTTAAAACAATTAATATATTATAAATAAAGATTTGTATATTACAAAACAAATACAAAGCATAAGATAATTATAGTAAAGATGATGTTCACAAGCAAACATTTTTACGCATGCTGTCCCTCCGAAGGCAATCCTTCGATCTGATGTCGGCCTAAAAACCCGAAAAAAGATAGGCAAAATTTTGTGCATAATCAATTTGGAAACTCGATTTTTTGTATTAAAGTTTGATATATCTTTACTTAAATAATTTCGAAAATAACTGCTCATGCTTACCTGGCGTATGGGCTCCGGGACTCGGAACCTACAACATTGCTTCACGATTTTGACGGCAGTGTGAAGAGATATACGATGGCCGACTGAAATGAATACCGGTTTTTGTGAGCCTTCAGTTGATTTCATTGCCTGCAATCAAAACTTCCAACGTATTAATGTTCGTGCGTTTGTGTGTGTGTGTGTGTGTGTGTGTGTGTGTGAGAGAGAGAGAGTCACTTACGGCTCCTAAAGTGGACCCGGAGTCACCGATCAAAGTGAAGATATCGCTACACGAATTGCCATCTTCTTCTAGAAGTTGTCTCACTTTATGTTGTGTGAGACCATCGACATGGTGTAACTACTAGAACATTCCGGTAAAAAAAACGTGAGAAAATACATAAACACCGAAAACTTCATTAACACTAGTGGCTAAGAGTCGTACATTCTTTCCTACTCCAATAGTAGGAAGATCAGCCAAAACACCGATATGACAAGCCAATCCGAACCCTGCAACACCCGTTCGAACGTCAAAAACGGGCGAATGAAAATAAAAATAATAAAATATCCATCGTTCAATATTCTCTAAAGATTGAAAAATCGACTTGCCTCGAGGATGAAGCAGTCCATTACCATCAACCATCAGTACCTGTCAAAATATACGTAAAATCGGAAAATCGGGACATCAACAAAATTTAGATCCGATCGGGCATAAAACCCAAACAATCGAAGGCAACTAACTAACTCTTGTAAGAATATACGTACATTCACTATTTTCATATGAACAGTACTAAAGATGCATACACAAAACACATATCTATACACATCAGCTTACAATCAAAGATTGTGAATTCTAGACGATGCACCTACCTGCGGGTACGACGAAAGTGCCGTCTTCTTCATTTTATCAAGAAGTTCTAGAAGCACTGGAGCCTGAAAAAAACAGACAACATTAAATTATTACACGCATCTTTTAATTTCAAAGTCTTGAAAACAGAGCAATGTCTTTATAAACAGTCATATATATATATTAGGGGCTTTAAGATATGCATCCCTAGTGGGAAAACATATTAGATGCTACACCCAAGGATATTAAAACATTAGAAATACATCCTTTTGTGAAATTATTCCTATAGTACCCTTACGGTGATACTAACGCCGTGTAGTTTGGTATTTGGTAAGTTGAAATTAAATCCCACCAATCTCGGCCTTAAGAATCTCTGTGATTCTATTATCATAAATCTCATAATAACCGTGCCATAAACCACCACCCCCTCCTTTTCCCCCAAATTAAGGTCGTCTTCCTCTTCTTTACTGCGAATCGGCGGCAATAATTCTGAAAGTACTATACAGCAACAAAATCCAACTCCTCGTCGCCACAAACGTCTACGAATATCTACGTCACGCAACAGATCGAGTGAGTTTTGTTTTGAATTTTTTTTCTGAAAACTTAAAAATTAGGGTTTTACACAATCTAATATGCAGGGGAGATGCGAATGAAGGGTTAGTAGGACATAAATGTGCTAGATCCAGATTAGATTGTGCATATGTGCAATTTTCTGTTTCATTATGTTCAATCATTGGGTGTCTATGAAAATAGTTTGGTGGTTTGAATCTCTAATTGGAATTTACTTATATGTGTTTACATTCTGCATATTTTTTCAATTATAGTTATAGTCAGTGATATGTTTAGGCGTATTTCTATTGTAGTCTATGGGAATATGCAGTGGGTTGTGGTGTAGTAACTGTTATGGTAGTTTATGTTTAAGATTTCTATCGTAGTCTATGAACTTCTCACTGCAATTCTATGGTATTCCGTAAACTGGTAAGGTATTTTGTACGGCTGTAGTTATGTATTGCTGGGATTCGTTTATTTTGGCTGATTACAAAGTAGTTGGTAGAAGAAAATTGTATATTGAATATGTTTCTGGGTATTTGTTGTTGTGGCATAGTAATTGCTATTGTAGTTTATGTTGTAATATTTCTATGGTAGTCTATGAATTGATATTGTATTTCTATAGCAGTCTATGAAATGACAATTGTATAAATTTACTTATAGTTATATTGTTGTGCGATTTGTTCATTTTTGCTGACCTATGTTACCGACCTACGAAACAGTTGCTATTATATAATTCTCTGTGTAATTGAGAGGCTGGCCTATATTGTTTATTTGTTAGTTTATTGCTAATGAGTTTTGTATGTCTAACTGTATGTATAATTTATGTAGTACTGTGGTATACTATGGGTACTGTGATATTCTATGGTTTTCTGTCGATTACGAATATTCGAATTTTTTAATAAAAAACTATTGATTCTACAATTACATGGTATATGTACTTTTTTATCTTCCCCAAACATTTATCTTTGTTGACAAATAAAGATGATTTTTTATATTTACAGAGAGGCCATGAATGTTGCTCAAAGAACGATAAAAAAGGTGGTTACATATCTCAATTCAGGTCTAACTTGACGTCTACTGGGCTTTCTTCGAAGAAGTGCGACTGAATAATGCTCACCTAGAGTGCCTGAAGAGAACCCCATTTTCAACCTCGTATTACCATTCGCAAATCACAAAATCACGAATGCTTCCGTTACTAGGACGGAAAATGGGTGTGTAGAGTTTTTTTTTACCTATAAACAGAGAACATTGTATAGCATCTTTTGAATTACAATATCATTTGAGCAATGTAGTTGTATTATTTTGTTTTGTCTCGTGTACGCGACTTCGTTTGCGCAAATGAAATTTAAATTGTTGGCATGTAAACATAATTATGGTTATTAACTCTAGTTTGTTGGGTAAAATATTCGAAACACGTTCGTCGTTGTTGACACTATGTCTTATTTATATATTATTGGTTTTATTTTGGATTAGGACCTTTGGTCATAGTTCAACATAGCTATTTTCTAACATTTGGTTTCATTCACTGCTTTACAAGAAATAAATGTACTAACTAAGAAATGTTGTACTCAAACTGATATTCTATATCGCAAATTTTGAACCATAGTTTTACTATGACATAATGAATTCATCTACGGTATCCTACAAATTACTGTAGATACTTTGTATTTACGCAGTTGGTGATAAAAGTGCACCAATCCTGGAAGAATACAGTGGTGGAAGATCATGTCAAAGTACTTAAACAAGCCTGGTGTGCAATATCTCTTTGTTGATCTACAAATATATTATGATATACTGTATTTATCAACAGTATCCTATAGATGACTATAGATACTTTGTATTTACACAATTTAAAGTGCACCATCCCTGTAGGAATACAATTCTGGACATTGATTTCAGAATACTTAATAGAATATGATTCCATAATGATTAAACACTCCAGTAATTTTATATTTAAAAAACATAAAAATATATGAAATACACACAAACTCATATAGCATAGAGAAACAATAACAAGTTTATTGAAAATTTGCAATTATGTAATTGATCATATGTAATTCCTAAAAGGAAAAACAAAACAAATCTTATGTAAAACAAGTGAATCCGGAAAACTTAAACAAAACATACATCGCAAATAAACCACGATGCGGAAATAAAATAGTACTACCCAAACATAAATGCAGGAAAAAAAACCAAAGAACACTATTGTTTAACTTACACTCAAATTCAAAAGGCTAAAAATACTCCAAATCAAAACTACTAAATAGCCCCTGTGCATGTCTTCTTGTTGTGAGTTCTAATCTGGTTGCAACGACTACACATCGAGCCACGGGAAGCCCGAAATTTTCCACATTCGGCATGAGCATGATATGTTCCATAAGTCAATCACAGCAACAGGTTCACTCACACCTCATACCCCGAGTCAGATGCTTTCCTTGGTAACCATGTGCTACTTTCCTGTACCAATACACCAAATCGTTTTTCATCCAAAGGACAAAGTTCAATGTGTCAAGGCACAGTAGTGTCGTACCTCAAGCACATCTGCAACATCAGTAGACTCCTAATGGTATTTATCATCTCCGTAATAGGTAGTTCACGATATTTGCTAATCTGCGAATACCAAGACTCTGTTAAATTGGAAGTCATCTCACCAAATCCCTGGCCAACAAAACGGAAAGAAGCCCAATTTCCGTATGGCGGATCTAGCAAAAAATTATTCACTCTCGGGCCACTATTTTTCGAAAATTCTCCATGCTATTATCAAACTCAGCACGTGTAGCAGCGTAAGCACCTTTTCAAAACAAAAAACAAAAAATAAAAATCGAAAGGCATCGAACCAACAACGCACGAAGAAGAACCACTGTTATACGATGATGGAAAACAATACATTCTTGAGGATGAGACTGAAAATACTACGCTCAATGTTTTGCAGATTAACACTGTATATTGTTATCTATCGGATCTTCTTCACTTACGTGAGATATATTAATGAGATTATATCACAGTTACAATCACGATGGACGTGATTGATACGTGATCCCTAATTATAAGGAATGTGATTTATTAAAAAGATGTAACTTTTTAAAACGTCACACAAACGTTCTGTTAATATTAAGGGTAATATTGGGATATTTAAAATAAAAAACCCTTATATCATATATTTTCTATACTGAGGGATTTAGTTACCAAAAAAATATTGGGCTCGTATTCTATATCTAATAACGTTTCGTTTGGGGGACCTCTAGCATATTAACCCTATATATTATATATATATATATATATATATATATATATATATATATATATATATATATATATATATATATATATATATATATATATATATATATATATATATATATATATATATATATATATATATATATATATATATATATATATATATATATATATATATATATATATATATATATATATATATATATATATATATATATAAAAATAAATATATATTATTATATAATATATATATATATATATATATATATAAACCTCTATAAATTAATGCAGTCGGATCAGGGAAATTTTATTAATTTAGCGAATTAATAAATTACCGAGTTAATAATTTAACACATTTTCATCGAGTTATGACCGGGAAAAACTATTATTTAATTGAGATTATTAATTTATCTAGGTTCTACTGAATAAAATAAAAGACCTCTCTAAATGCCAAGAATCCAGGAACATAAGGAACACGAAGCTCAACAATGGCGTAATCCTCGTACACAGATTCAAGAGTGGAGAAATCAAGAACCACTAGGGTGGCGCATGCAATTGAAGGGTCAACTTTGGAGAAGCTCAGGTCAACGCCACCCACATACTTTAGGGTTTGACTTTCGCCGCTGTGAGAATCTTGATTTTGTTCTTCTGTACCTGTGAAAAAATGGTCTTTTGTTGTGGGTAGTTTCCAGTTGAATCTGTCCTCTGTGATCAGCTGTTTCTTGAGCGAATCTTGAATCCTGCGTTTGGTTTTTGGGATAATTCTTGAAAACAAAATTAAAATTCAAAATAAAAAAATTGATGAATGGAATTGTGTACTTACTCGATCCATTTGTTCAGAAGTTGGGGAGAGGTGTGTTTATGTGAGGTTGAAGGTTGTTCTTCCATGGGAGAATCTGATGAAATGGGGTTAGAGAGGCCAAAATGATAAATAGTGTAAATTACGGTCAACTCCTGAGCCAATGACAAATTACGAAAAAACCTCATCGTTTGGCAATTACAATAACCTCTCTCGACTTTTTATACGTGCTCCATTGCGGTGTTAAATTTAGTGGAATCTTCTAGATTATGTGGAATATTCTTCGTTTTGTACCTGTTTTATCTCGTTAGCTCCACATTTTAAAATAAGATGATCATAATATGTGTGTCTTGGCTTGTAAATATCATATTGTGGTGTATCATAAACTGCATTTTTGCCCAAAACGAGTACAAACTAGAAAACATTCAACGGAATATAAAAGATTATGTTGAACTTGACAACATAAGAATGAAAGTGTAAGAATATTCATAATTGATGGGATGATTGTAATTACCAAAAAATGAAGGATTTTTTTTTCTTAATATGATCATACCTTAGGGGGTTGACCGTAATTTACCCTCGAAATACTGTCCGATGCTCGACTCGAGCTTGGTTATTGGGGAAAGAAAATGTAAAATATGTATAAAATATCAAATTATTGGAGCTCGATTCGATTAAAATTCGTTCGAACTCAACTTAATTGCTTATCAAACTAAGCTCAAACATAATTTTTAAAGTTCGACCAAAATTCAAGTAAGCATAAAACAACAAACTATACGTTCGTCTCCACTTGATTCGTTTAAATCCCTAATCAAACATTAACATCAAATACCATATATAAGTTATTAATTTTTCAAATAACTCATGAAAATGCACATTATCCATCAAAATCAAATACTATAAAAATAACTTAAATGAATGGATATTTCTGATTTTCATTAGTTGGAACAAATTTTTTAATCTTATATCTCATCGTAACATATTACAAAAAAAATATATTTAATTTTGTTACATGAATTAATAAAAAAAAATCACTATTTCAAAATTATACAATGAAATTAGATGAATCGGGTTTTCGGGTGATTTGACCGGTTCTTCATAAGCTATTCGGGTTGGACTATAAAGGAATCAAAAGATTCCTCGGCCCAAAATAAAAATAAAATAAATTATTAAAATTATAAATAAATATATAAATAAAATGAAACCCTTGAAATGCAGTACTCCGCGCTTCAACAACTGTACCTACAACCCCTCCTTCCTTCTCTGCCTTCACCGTCTCTCGAACACACTATAAATACACACACACACACACACAACACACAGTCGAAATTCTCCTCGAACCGCTGGCAGGAAATCGGTGGTGTTCAAATTGGAACTATAATTGGGGAAATTCACAAACCCTACCCCTGTAATTGCGCCACTAATCATAATTATTTTTTTCTTCTGCTTGGATTAGTTGAATAAATTATTGCCTAATGGAGGCGGCTAGGGATGCTGAACCTCCGGCGCAGCCCGAACCGGCGGCGGCGGAGGCGGCGGAACAGACGCAGGAGAATCAAGAGGAGGAGGAGAGCGACCTTCTGATGGCGAAAGCGCAGTCTTTGATAGATAAGATCACTTCGAACCCCGAGAACCCTAGCCCCAACGTTCTCCATGCTCTCTCCACTCTTATCGAGGCTGAGGAATCGAGGTAGGATTTCTGTCTCTGTGCTTAGAGCAGTGTCTGAATTAATTTGTTTTGTACTTCTTCTAGGTAATGGCAGCCGAGGGGTGGTGGTTTGTGGTGTGTTTAGGATCAGTGGTTTTCGTTTTGCCCCTTGTGTTTTTTGAGTATTATTTTGTTGGGGGTAGAGATAAAATAATAAGGGTAGTGGTTTCTATTGTTTAGGAGTAAGGAATTTTCTTCTGTGTAGTTTTATTTGCCAAAAAACAAGTCCTTCCTGAAGATGCCTTGTTTTAGCAATAGCTGTTGGCAACAACTCTTACTCTTCTTCAGTTGTAAAATTGGAATTGGCCCGGGGTCGAAAGTGAATGTTGAGCAACTGGCACAACGGAAAGTGAAAACTATAAGTAGGAGACTCTCTTTTTTTTTTTTTGAAAGAAAATTTGGAGGGAATTATAATATATGAGGTATATGAAACTGGATTTATCTTTAATTTGTTTATGAACGGGAAAATAAAAATAATTTGGCTGATTGTTTTATTTTAGAACTCTCTTTCTTCTAAAACTAAAAGTGAAAATATATAATGAGGAATGTTTGTATTGGTTTTATACATGTGTTGGTTGCATAGTTATTGAAAAATAAATTTATTTTGTATTCATTATCATTAGTTAAAATTATTTTATTTGTCTCAAACTTGAGGTTTCTGTAGTTGGCCTTAAGCCTAGCTGTGTTACGGAGTATATATTACTGTGTTTTATGTTATGAAAACTTAGGAATCACATGAAATTAGAACTTCCCACACAATAATTGTGGCTCATTGGTTATTGTTCAATAATAGTCTGGTTCAAATAGACTGAGTGAGGATGGTTGTCATGTATGCAGTTGATTTGACAATTCATAACTTCTTAACATGTATTTGAGTTGGTAGGAGTGTAGATTACGAGCTGGAAAACTTTGCACTCTATTCTTCCCTTCTTATGAAAAGAGAAATTTATCACGACTGTTTATTTGTCTTTGGAATTTGTTCAAGTGGTACAAGAGTTACATTGGAAGTTATTCTATCTAACATTTTGTTAATCGGATGTATAGATATATGGAAGATGCAGATCACTCTTCGACAAATAACGGCAGGTCCTCTCATGACGTTGGACGACTTGGAAACCTTATTCGGGTACTTGATTCTTGTGCTGTTTTGCATTTGCAACTACGTCTTTACTAGCAACTTCTCTTTTTGAATTGTGGGCCAGAGTAGGGAGTTGGGTCCCATTTAATTGCAGTTTGATTTTTGCACTCTTCTAAAGCACCTTGTTGTGGGACGGTTCCTGCAATTGTTCTCGTGCAGAGACTTAAATATTTCTAAATGTATCTATAATCTCTTTATTCTAATTATCGCTTTATCTTGATTTATTTTCTGTTTCTTTCTCCAGGAGAATGATGAATTCTTTGAATTGATATCTTCAAAGTTTTTAACTGAAAGCAGATATTCGGTAGCAGTACAAGCAGCTACTACACGGCTTCTTATCAGTTGTTCGCTAACTTGGATGGTATGTTTTTTTGGCTTGATTTTCACTACATATATTGCTGCCGCTGCTACTGCAACAGCTTATAGTACTATCTTTGTTGCTTTTTTTAATGCCTTGCCACATAGTATTGATTTAAGTGAATTGAAATACAGTATCCACATGTATTTGAAGATGACGTCCTAGCTAACATAAGAAGCTGGGTCATGGAGGAAATACCCAGGTCATCTGGTGATGATCGCAACTCGAAGCATGATATAGGGAAAAGGAAGACTTCAGCTGCTGAAATGCTACACACATACTCCACTGGTCTTCTTGCTGTATGTTTGGCTTGGTATGTCATAAACTTTTATTCTCTTTTCCATCTTTCCTTTTGTTTTCTATCTTTCTTGTAGTAACTGTTTCTTTTGATGTTGGTGATAGCAGTGGTGGTCAACTAGTGGAAGATGTGTTAACATCTGGATTATCATCCAAGATAATTCGATATCTGCGTATTCGTGTTTTGGGTGACACAAACACAAACCAGAAAGATGGAAATGCTTTAATTGATAACAAAAGTGTATCAAACATGGTGGGCGCAAAAGTCAAAGAGGAAAGTAGGAGTAGGTTGCGACAAGTGATGGACAGTTCTCATATGGATGTAGACACTTTGAGAAACCATCCAAGTGACGAGGAACCTCATGATAGTATGTCTCTTGAGGTTGATGCTAATGAGGCGGAAGCAGACTTTGAAGAAAAATCCCTTGTTAAAGATTTTCTTGAGTCAAAAACAAAACCTTATGGAAAATCCCAGAGGGATGAAGATTTAGATGATAGTGTGAGAGATGATTCTTCCAGAAGAAGGGCAAATCGTGGTTTTTCCAGATCACGCGGAAAGAGGTCCGGTGAAGGCGCATCTGAGAACGAGCAAGTTTTGACCTCTCCAAGTTCTGGCAGTAGGTCAGGACAGGCACGGAGTGTGAAAGACAGGAGTGTAACTAAAAATCAGGATACGAGAAGAGTTCAAGATGCTAAAAAGGGCTTATCTATAAGCAATGTTGATTATGTTATCTCTGAAAGGGAGGACAATGATGATTGCTTCCAAGAATGCAAAATTGGGTCCAAAGACATAACTGATTTGGTTAAAAAAGCAGTCAAAGCTGCTGAAGCGGAAGCAAGAGCAGCCAATGCTCCTGCCATAGCCATAAAGGCAGCTGGTGATGATGCCGCTGAAGTGGTTAAGACAGCTGCATTGGAGGTGAGTGTACTTCTGTTTCTTGTTGAATGCACTATTATCATTGATTTTTCTTACATATAGTTGTCCGCCTATTCAGGAGTACAGAAAGACAAATGATGAAGAAGCTGCAGTGTTAGCTGCTTCAAGAGCCGCATCCACAGTTATAGATGCTGCTAATGCAGTTACTCTCTCGAGGTTGGTACTGATATCCTCTTAAGATCCCTTGCTATAGATTGACATCCACATATATGTTTGTTGTTTTGTATTTTGCCCATGACCATTTATTTAAGCTATTTGAATTTATTTGACCTTCTGCTTGTTGTAGAAATTCAAGCAATGTTGATGGAGATTCAGAGAATGCAAAACCTGCAGAGCTAGAAATTAATGAAGATGTCACCGAATTTGTCATTCCGGACAGTCACTCTCTAGCAAAGCTGAGGGAGAAATTCTGTATTCAATGTCTGGTGATTTTGGGAGAGTATGTCGAAGTTCTGGGTCCTGTACTCCATGAGAAGGGAGTTGATGTCTGCCTTGCACTATTGCAGCGAAGCTTTAAGCATAAAGATGCATCAAATATAATGCCCATTTTGCCTGATATTTTGAAGTTAATTTGTGCATTGGCTGCTCATCGGAAGTTTGCTGCATTATTCGTGGATCGCGGTGGCATGCAGAGACTCCTTGGTGTTCCGAGAAATGCCCAAACATATTTTGGTTTGTCCTCCTGCTTATCTACAATTGGTTCAATTCAGGTAACTTTGTTTTGTCTATATATCTCCAGTTGTTTATGCTTGTAATATGATCTGATTTCCTTTGTTGTCCATTTACTCCTTCAAATTTTCATGTTTTCCTCATCACTGTCTCTTGGTTTTTATTCGGATCTTTGTTCCAAGAGAGTTTTGATTCACAAGATAACTTTGCAGGGGATAATGGAGCGTGTTTGTGCCCTTCCTTCAAATGTAGTCCATCAGGTTGTTGAGTTGGCTCTTCAACTTCTTGGGGTTCCGCAGGATCATCAAGCTAGAAAGAATGCCGCTTTATTCTTTGCTTCTGCTTTTGTCTTCCGAGCTGTCATTGATGCATTTGATGCACAGGATGGTTTGCAGAAAATACTTTCTCATTTGCATGATGCTGCCTCTGTAAGATCTGGTGTTCCTCCTGGGCCATCAAATAACTCTGGGTCTTTTCGAAATGATCGATCCCCTGCAGAGGGGCTGACCTCTTCAGAGAAACAGATAGCTTATCACACGTGTATAGCACTGCGGCAATATTTCAGAGCACATCTCCTATTGCTCATGGATTTAATTCGACCCACAAGAAGCACTCGCAGTGCACCCCGAAACATTTCAAGAGCAGCCTACAAGCCACTCGACATAAGTAATGAGGCTATTGATGCTGTATTTCGTCTAATACAGAGGGATCGGAGACTTGGTCTGGCACTCGTGAGGACCCGTTGGGCTGTAGTTGACAGATTCTTAAGTTCAAATGGTCATACAACCATGTTGGAGTTGTGTCAGGTCTGGTTTGTTATTTTGTATTTGTTATATATATCTCAATGTCTTCTGTTCTATTAATATTTTGTTTGTCTTTACAGGCCCCGCCAGTTGAGCGTTATTTGCATGATTTGCTTCAGTATGCACTTGGTGTACTGCATATTGTCACTTTGGTTCCTTATAGCCGCAAACCTATTTTAACTGCTACGTTAAGCAATGATCGGGTTGGTATAGCAGTCATTTTGGATGCAGCAAATGGTGCTGGTTATGTTGAACCGGAGGTAATATGTGCACACATTGTTTGGGCTTATCATGAAATTATTTGCCCCCTTTGTAACCCTTTTGTAATATCTCATTTTTCAAATGTCAGATTGTCGAGCCAGCACTGAACCTGTTGATAAATCTTGTTTGCCCTCCTCCATCGATCAGCAACAAACCAATTCCCACCATGCAAGGTCAACAAGCTTCCTCTATCCAAACTGGAAATTGTCCTCCAATGGAGTCTAGGGACAGAAACACCGAAAGGAATATTCCAGAGCGAGCTGTCAACATTCCTAGCCAGAATGAACAAAGAGAGCGAAATGGAGAACCTGCTTCTGTGGATAGAGGTGGTCCTTACCAAGCATCTGCATCTACAGTGGCTTCTGGGTTAGTTGGAGATCGGAGGATATCATTGGGTGGAACAGGTTCTGCTGGGCTTGCTACACAGCTGGAACTAGGGTATCATCAAGCTAGAGAAGCTGTTCGATCAAACAATGGTATCAAGGTTCTTCTCCAGCTTCTCCAACCACGTATGGTAACGATGCCTGCTGCTCTTGACCGTCTTCGTGCTCTGACATGCCGAGTTCTTCTTGGTTTAGCCAGAGACGATACTATTGCACACATATTAACTAAACTTCAGGTCAGTGTATCTTGATCCATCCTTTATTTTGTTTATTAGGAATGTGTCCAGTAATTCACCATATCACTATTATTATGAATGAAATATGGCTTTATAACAATTTTCACATACTGTCAACTTCTATGTTTATTTCAGGTGGCGAAAAAGCTATCAGAACTTATTCGAGATTCTGGGACTCCTGGTGGGGAGCAAAATAGGTGGCAGACAGAGCTCACCCCAGTTACTATTGAGCTGATTGGGGTAGCACTGATTCATCATACAACACTAGATTATGAAGAAAACAGGAGGGGGGGGGGGGGGG